AAGTTGTATATAGAACGAAAGCGTTAATTTGATACTTAATAATGACCGCTTTATAATTTATAAATCTTAGATAATTAATCTAGTAGTTGTGTTATAAGATTATAGAAAAAATCGTTACAAATATAAAAATTTGTTATAATTTAAATGTTATTAACTAATTTGGATATTTCTTTTTAGAAATTACTTCTAAAATTAATAAACTATAAAGTTATGTAAAAATTTAATAATTTTCTATTGTAAATATTGTAATATTACATTAATTAACTTTATTAGTTAATAACTTTTCACGATACTATTTGCGATAATTCGAAATATCGGTTTTTTGAAAAGCCGTTGGTCATAAGAGAATCGTCTCAAGACTTGCATTTCATTTTCTTTTGTAACATCTTTAGGTTTCATATCTATTGTGCGATGTTTTCAATTATTAGAATTCGAAATATCGGTTTTTTGAAAAGCCGTTGGTCATAAGAGAATCGTCTCAAGACTTGCATTTCATTTTCTTTTGTAACATCTTTAGGTTTCATATCTATTGTGCGATGTTTTCAATTATTAGAATACTCTATTAAATCGGGGAGAAAGTCAATCCACTTATAATTTCCTCTTAAACTAAATTTTGTCTACATAATATTTCTGAGCGTTTGATTAAAAGTTTACAAATTGATGCTTTAAGATTGCTATAAGTAGAATATAGATTTATTAAATATGTTTTCAATAGACTTTGAAAATTCACATAGTAGAACTCTTTGCTACATGGAGAAATTTAGGAATGCGCCCCTTTTTTAATACAGAGTCCATTGCATTAGTGACATCTGTAGTAGTTTTTTGTTGTACTGGAACTGCCTAAACATATTTTGAGAATGTACCTATAATAGTTAATAAATAGCGAAAACCTTTGTTTTTTCTGGAATAACCTTGCATCACTACAAGATCAGTTTGCCATGTATCATCTATGCCGTGTATATCGAATTTTCGACGTGGATAGTTTCGACGTGCTGGTTTATGTAACTCATCAACTACTCTTTGATGTTTCATTTTCAATATATTTGTTATTATTAATGCAGAACGTCAAACGATATATTCTCTAAAACTTTGTTCTTATTATAATCTCTTCTCCTTACACTTGTAATTTCGACCTTATTATATTTAGAGATTTTTGAAATTATATTGATTGTAGTCTTAAGCGTAGTAACGTCAACTTCACTAGTTCTTCACAATGTTCGTAAGTTTACTGTATCGTTACTCTTCTGAGAATCGACTATACAGCAAATTCTTTTGTCACTCACATAGTATTATCCGTCTTTAGTGATTTTATACTCTTCACCAGGAGGATCTCGATTATCCTCCTAAAAATTGCAAATTTTCGAAGTGTTTTCATGCGTGATGCTCTACCGGCCGATGGACCCCGATATCAAGAGACAGCTATTGTAAATTTACATGATGAAAATGGACCAGGTACTTATAAAAAGAAAGGTGATGAAGTCATGTATTCTGACAGTTTTGGTAATCTTCAACCACCTATAGATCTATTGCTTTATTTCAAATTTATTAGAATCATGTATAATTTTATTAGATATCAAGATTTTAATACGTACAATTGCGACTATCTTTGTCATAAATTTCTTTTGAGCAAACTATAGAAGAGACAAATATACTAGTATACAAAAAACTAGTATAAAAAATACTCGTTGAAAGAATCACTATCATTTGTTATCAATCTGTTATGGAGAATATACTGACATTGAGTCTCTTGGAAACTAAATAAATAAATATCCGTACTCGAAACACATTATCTTCCATCGATCGAACTGATACCAAACAAAAAATACATTCTTAGTCTATGTGAGCTATTAACATTTAATTCAATACAAAACATTGACAATGGTAATAATAAATTTTCCATCGAAGGTAAAAAGCTGTCACTTTATCGACTGGTAGCTACGAAATAGAAGATATTGAAAGCTTAGTCAAAGAAGCATTAGCACCTAAGGGTAATCGTTTAGCCAGAAACTAAATTATAATACATTACGTAGTGTCATTCAGTATAGTCGTAAAATACATTTTGAACCAGTGATTCTATTGGATCATTTTGAGGGTTCACTAGAAGCACGCTTGTTGAAAATGAAATACTTAGTTCTGACTTACCTGTGTCTATTCTCAAATTCAACGCCTTACGTGTAAAGTATAATATTTTTACAGGCTCTTACATAAACGAACGTAAAGTACATACTATATATGAATTTTTCCCAACAGTACCACCTGGATATAAAATTATAGAAGTGCCCTCTCACATCATTTACCTTCCAGTGACTATAACAAGCATTGATTATTTTCAAATTCATATAATTGATCAAGACGATAACTTAGTTAACTTTTGTGAAGTTATGACATTGCAAGTACATATAAAAATCATGTAGTAATGGGTATTACTTACTATATACAGACCATTCCAGGTTATATTGAAAGTCAAAAATGTCAATCACTGATCAGTCGACAGCGAGCTATTAACATTCAACTCGTGACAAGCTCGAGACTAAAAGTCGTCGGAAATCGTGGAGGAAAATATTGTGTATATAAGTATACTATGTGCAACAACAAAATAGACGGAATTCTAGACGTTCATTCAGGTGTCGGTTTCGATGAGTATATAGCTCATTATGAAGTTCATGCGCATCAGCCTTATTCATTATTATATTTTTTAATAATAGCGATAAAATCCATATAGCAATTCAATATCAAGATTTATCTCTGCTTCTATCACGTAGTATAATTCATATTTGTGGATGGATAACCAAGCCGGTCGGTACTACTCTAGTGAAGAACACTTTATTACTCAACAATGCCTTCTGTCATTTGATCGAGAATACAATATGAAATAAGTGCTATTGAAATTAATAAAGTAAAAAATGTCGGCTTAACGAGCCTGATGAAAAATTGGTTTTCACTCAATCCATGTCAAAGCTCTATTGCTGAAAATGCCGGTTGGAGTGGTAAGAACAACGAAATTTTTATATGTAATGGTCTAGGTTATTTTGATGTGTTCATCCCTCTCAGTATGTTACTGGGCTTTACTAAAGGTTATCGAAAAATTGTAGTCAATGTCAAGCATGAACTTATTCTTACAAAATCAAGAGATGCTTTGAATGCTATTTTAAGCATTCCAATAGGGAATCCTACAGTTTCAGAAAAATAAAAAATTACTTTAACTAAGGCTAAATAGTTGATGTCACATGTGATCGTTATCGATAAAAAAAAATCAAATTACTCAATCAGATTGGGCGAGATCGTGCTATTACAATGAGTTATCGTACTTGGCAAATGTATTCAAAATTACCTCGTACATCAAAGGACGTTTGAAGTATTAAGACTTCTAATCCCCTGAATTATTACTTGTAAAATATGGTGAATGTGTCGCTTCTATATTGGAATATCATATTTAGCTGAAAATACAAAAATTAAATCATTAAAAATAAATATATTTTTCTTATTTTTCATATACAGGGTGAATCATTTTAATCTAGGTGGCCAATTATTTCGTTCCGGAAGCACAATAGCGAAAAATAGTTCGGATAAAAGTTTTACGGTTTGGAGGGGGACAGCCGATGGTGACATCCAACTTGACCTTGAACGTGAGTTTTCAAATAACCTTGAACAAGGTTATTTATTCAAGGTTATTTGAAGGTCAACTTTGTTTTTTCAAATGAAAACCTCTATTTTTTTTCCCGGATTCGGATAGCGCGGGAAATTTTTCGTTTAAATCATGTAATATGTGTGGGGTCCAAATGACCCCCACATCACCTCCAAAGTCATTTCGAGATCAATCTTACTTTTTTACGTAAATGGGGTCCCTCATTTTTCGTCGCAGGTTTGAATTCTCCGTGAAATTGTACGTTTAGATGATGGGAAATTTTTAGGGTCCGAAAAACCCCCCATTCTACCCTCTCAGGCATTTCAAAGTCAACCATACTTTTTGATTGGGAACCCTCATTTTTGTCGCAGGTTTAAATTCTTGACTTTGGGGGTGAGGTGGTTGGGTCATTCGGACTCCATTAATATCCCATCTTCTGACCGTACAATTTCACGTAGAATTCAAACCTTTGACGAAATATGAGGGGTCCCATTTAAAAAGTAAGGTTGACCTTGAAATGACTTTGGGGGTGGGGTGGGGATTTATTTGGACGTCACACATATTACATAATTTGAACGTAAAATTTCCCGCTCTATCCGAATCTGGGATAAAAAATAGGGGTTTCCATTAAAAAAAACAAAGTTGACCTTTAAATAACCTTGAAACTCAAGTACACGTTCAAGTTGTAGGTCACCATCGGCTGTCCCCCTCCAAACCCTAAAACTTTTATCCAAACTATTTTTCGCTATCATGCTTCCGGAACGAAATAATTGCCCACCTCGATTAAAATAATTCACCCTGTATATATATAATCATTTTATTTACTTATCACCGTCAATATCGAGTAGAACAAATGGTAAAATACAGCTGTTGGTATACTTATTAACAGGATTGGAGGAGTCTAAAAGATATAATAATTAATTTATATAACGAGAGCTTATTGAATTAGTAGAAGATATATATATATATACATATATATATACATATATATATATACATATATATATATATACATATATTTATGTATATATTAGGGTGGCGCTTATTTGCCAAACGGCTCCAATACTAGCTCCCGTACCGGGGATGGATTATTCATACCTAAAAACTAAGAATTCAGTAATAAAATTCTGTAAAAGGAGCTTTTAACTCGTTTCAATTTAAAAAAAACGCTTTTTCGCATTTTATTGAATCTGTCGCACTTAAACCCTCTTCAATTTCAAAACTATCACTTTATTATTTTTTTAATCAGCTTCAAATCTATTCAGATCACCTCTATGGGTGAAAAGAGCATCATCGGTAGTGATTTTAATGCAGAAAAATAATTTTTCACCACGATTTTACTGTTTTATTTATAGAAATTTTAACAAAAACGTACCTTTTTTCTGGTTTTGCGAGTTTACAGGTAGATGAAAGTCCCCGGAGGTCCAAATAAATTTCACTAGAATAAAGTAGAATACATGAGCTTCAATTTCCATTTTTATTTAATTTTCTAAGTGCTCCCGTTTCCGAATTATGGTCATTTAAAGTTGGTATAAAAAGGTAGCAATGAAATCTGTGAATTGGGAAAAAATGTATCACTTTTTGATCGCAGCGCTCCCCAAGCAGTCACTTTTGGAAACCAAGTTTTTTCCCCATGCGCCAAATTAAATACTGATATCTACGAGAAAGCTTTTGAAATATTTTATTGTAATAAAACACTTGGACAAACATTCAGGAGGTTTTTAAGTCTAAAAACATCCTTTTTTTCAAAAATCACGTGTCCGAATTCGTGTCATGTCTCAAGTGTCACAATCGTTCTGTATAAGCCCTAAGGCTGGAGCAGACACAACATCGTGTTTATTTGTGTGTTTGAAATCTAAACCCACAAGGCGCCTCTTCAGCTTCAAATTTCTAATGTTTTGAAATAGTTGTTTTGAAAATTTCTATTAATTGCAAGAGAATTTTATCATTTTTTCTAAACATTTTTCTAATTACTCTTCATCAAGTAATGGTAAGTGAACTCAGCATCTATTCATGAAATTTCAATGTTTGATTTATACTTCAGAAAACAATAGAATCATGAGTTTGTCTGAACTGACCCTATTGTCCACTTGAGTATGCAAATATTGAAGAAAATGTTTAAAAAGAGAGGAATTTTTAATCATTAATCGCATTCGATACTTCTTATTTTTGAAGCAGTTTTATTGTAAAATCTTTAACGCAAGTATTCGTCAAAGATGCAGATCTTTATTATTTATTTTGAGAATTTAGTTTTAGTAATTGCTTGATTATTTAGGCTGCATACTTGTCAGAATGTCAATTTGCTAAATTCATGCTTACAATAACGTGTTATTGCTCAATCAGTTGCTCAACCCATATTGAAAATGTATATGTTAAAGCTTTTTACAAAAAATAAGAATGACTATGAAGCTTTATTTTGTCATATTACTCATAATTAAATAAATATCTTTGGTCTTTTGCTCTTTTTTATTGGAATCTTTCATACATCTGTATGATACGAAAAATATAGTTGGCATATAAACCTAAGAGGTATGAAACTGAAATAATTGATATTTATAGTTTAAAATCAATAAATACCTTATTTGAATATCTTACAGCTTCAGCAAATTTACACAAGTTTCTTTTTGTAATATTTGAGACTTTTAACATTGATAATAAAGAAATTTAATTTTCAAACTTGATTTTACGTAAGGATATCAAATCAAAGTACGAAACAAAGTATATTTCCAACCAAAATATTTTCTCTGTAACTACTAAGAAAAATTTTTTCAATTTATAGCATTATCTTGGAAAAATATTATCTGAAAACTTCAATGCGTTAATCTAATATACATTTAAAATATTTTTTATCGTAATTATTCTATGCCACTTGTAGTCTAAAGTATAAATTGCTTGGTTCAAAAGTAATAGTGACACTTTAAGGGTACATTTATTGTACTTTTATTTTGTATGTAGCAGACAATCAATTCATTCTTTCTAGGCTGATACTTTCAAAAATGAAAATCTTTTAAAATATGTGTATTAAAGGTAATATGTGTATTAAAGTGTAGAAAAATGAAAAAATTCTGTGTATATTCTTGGCCATGTAAAATAAATAAAAGTATATTCATGACTGCTTTGAAAATTACTATTAGGAGCCTGAAAATATATAAAAAAATAATTTCTTTTGTGAATATTTCAATATTTTAAATTTGATTCATTCTCTAAGGCAATATAGATGTACAAGAAAAATACGCAAACAAGTTCATTCATTAAGTCTTTACCATTTACTTACATACAAATTTACTATATTTAATATGAGATTGTAAATATAACATGCTATTTTCCTAAAACAATTAATTGTTTTATGTAAAAGAAATATCTTAATTTAAACTGTCAGATTAATCTCATAATTTTTAAAAAATTCTACAAAGTACTTTTTTTTAATATTTACTTGTAAATTAGTAATCCAGGCAGAAAACATCACCTGATTTCTCACGTGTGAAATCAAGTGACCTTTTCAACTATCAGGTGATGTCGTGTGATCAATCACTTTAAAAAAATATATACCACTGTTGCATGATATCAGGTAAAAAACGACTTGAACAAAATCAGTATTGAAAAAATGTTTGTTTAAATAATGTTACATTATACTCAATCATAATATTAGTATTGACTTAAAAAATATTTGTTCAATTTTGAATAATGTCTAATTAATTTCATAATTCCTAAAAAAATAATAAAGTTACTGTATTTTTTGTCAACAATTAAACTAATAGTATTGAAATATTATTGATAAAATAAGTCATATTTACCGGATGTTACCGGTATTTATATATATTGTTTTAACGTGATTTTTCTTGACCTCACTTGATATGACTCGTAAAAAAATGACATGATTTCTCACATGACATTTTTTGATTAGGAAAACTATGAATATAGATAGGCGGTATGAAAAATGTTTACTGTTTTTGATTCTTACATATTTTTTTGAGGCTTCGCCTTAGACGCCATTCATACAGGATATAAAGATTTCCTTTTTGCCCTCGTAGTATAAAATAATGTAATATAGAGTAATTTTGTAATATATTGTAATATTTATTGATCCAAAAATTTACAAAAGGTGACAGGAAAATCCTGTGTACATTTAATGTTTAGGCAATATTTTCCATAAAACCTTTCTTATGCTTTTGCTAGAAACACACATTTAGAAATTATAAAAATTACTTTCTTTTCTAAGCTGTTACCTCTGGCAATATATAATTTTAGTTATGTGATCGTTACATTGCAGGTTGCAAATACTGTTGTTTTTACACAAAATTCAAACTTGAAAAATTTTTTTCATCAGAGCAAGAATGACTTCTGAGCAAGGAGGTTTACAATTGTCAGATGTTACAAATGACTTGATCTCTGAACTAAACAAAAATAATTTACCAACTAATATAGATGTTCTCAAAAGACTATTGTATAAAACTCAAATTGATAAATCTACATTAGCCGAAGCTACCAGGATTGTAATAGATGAAGTGATAAGTATATGGGAAGAATCAACAATAAAAATAAAAAGAATAGATCATTGCAATGAATGCTTAAAGAAATTGTACAACTCTTATTCAAATGTGAGAAAATTTCAGCACAAGCGCAGTAAAAAAGTCGATGATTTTCTTGAAGGAATGACCGAAACATTTAACATTTCCCAAGACAGTAGAATTAAACTACTAGGTTCAATGGATGATGCAGTAAAGAAAAAATTTCTGTCCAGGCCAGTTGATTATATAAAACTCAAATTACCTGTTATAGAATCTCAAGACTTTGGTAAAACAACGTACTTATAATATAAGACACTTTCATTATTATTCTATGTGCTCTTCTTTTATAATCACATTTAATTACAGATGAAAATGTTTTATCAGACAATGATTTGAGCAGTTCAGCAATTCTTCAACTCCAAAAGAAAATGAGCCAGATGGAGGGCTCAGTCAGTCATTCAGCCAGAATGTGTCTATTAGCGAAGCTGAATCTAGTGAGGATACAAATATTATAGCAAGGAGAATGAGGACAAGTAAATATATTTTTATATCAAAGTATAGACTAATTAAGAATTATCTATATTCATTATTGTTATACATTAAAACTAATATTTTTAGGGCCAGAAGCTGAACTAGTACTTGGAACACAGCAACCATCCAGTGAAGAAACAAATACAAGCTCCCAAAATAGTAGTGGTACAGTTTATGCTGTTGCCGGAAGAAATTATGAAAGTAAAAACGAAAGAGGTACGATTGATGTGATGACTCCAGACGTTGTGGCAGATTTTGACAAAGCTAAAGTTTCCGACCGGGATGCTGTCTTTATAACCGGTCTTATTGCTAACGCATTGAACGTGAATGTTCAGACTTTAATCCTCAATCGTAAATCCATCAATATTTCAAGGGCTGAAGTAAGGAAGCGAGAACACGAAAAAATGAAGCAGTTATTACAAGATACGCCTTTAATTTTTTTGATCGTACATTGGGACGGCAAACTTATTCCTGATAATATTTCTTGCAAAAAAGTAGACAGATTGCCAGTTTTGGTGTCTTGTGATAAATTCACCAAGCTTCTCAATGTACCAGCATTGCAAGACCAAAAGTCAAATTCGGTAGCTTCAGCAGTTTATGCATCGTTAAAAGATTGGGGTCTAATAGACTTGACGAACGCTTTGTGTTGTGACACCACAAATATAAATCTAGGGTGTAAAAGTGGTGCAGCGATGCTTTTGGAACTGATGATGGACAAAGATTTGCTCTATTTAGCTTGTCGACGTCATATATTCGAGCTTTTATTAAGAGCAGCTTTTGAAGAAAAATTTCCCGGCACTAGTGGTCCGGATGTGCCAATTTTTAAGAGATTTCGAGAAAAATGGTCTGATTTTGATTTAACTTCTTTTGAAAATGGATTGGCTGGGCTCGAGATATCTCTGAGGAATGAAGTTCCTCGTATCATTCAAAATATAAATAAATATTTGACAGAACAGCAGCCTCAAGATGATTACAAGGAACTTTTACAGCTCTGTTTAATTTTTTTGGGGACTGGAGAAGGAATTACTTTCAAAAAACCAGGAGCAGTTCACCATGCCCGTTGGATGGCTAAGGGAATCTACTCAATAAAAATGTTTTTATTCAGAAAGGCTTTCAAAATGAGTAAGAGCGATGAAATAAAGTTATATGCTGTGTGTAAATTTATTGTATTCAAATACATCAATTCATGGTACACAGCTCCATTAGCTATTTGTGCTCCTAATAATGATTTGAAGCTGATTAGATCATTAGTTGATTTTCAAGACGTAGACAAAAAAATATCAGATGCTACTTTACATAAATTTAGAAATCATTTATGGTATTTGTCTCCAGAACTCAGCATTCTCTCACTTTTTGATACTGATGTTGATATCACCACAAAACAAAAAATAGTTCAATC